CTTCCTATAATCCAACATTAACACTGCACAGACTGTACAGAATATACAGAAGACTCAGCAGACGTCCACACAGTGGAAGTCAATGCTAATGTGAGCAATTCTCTATTCAGAATTGTTGGGATTTATGATAAATATTTGGGCTTCAAAGATATCTTACCAACCTTCATTCACGTAGACAAACGAAATAGGGTTGATTATCCTATGTGAAAATATCACAGAATATTATTTTTAAATTATCATTATTATCATTATCAGTATTTACATCCTTTACTTACAATTGTCAATACTGGATAGCAAAATGTTAAGTATAGTATAACATCTGTTATATATTGTGGCATCTAGTCAGGGGCGTTGCAACTGGGTAGGCAAAGCAGGAAATTGCCTGGGGCCCTGCAGCTGAGGGGAGGCCCCCATTAAAGGCTGATTGGGTTTACAACAATTTTGTGAGAACTCCGTTAAACTCCATGATCAGCTATAGGAGACTGCAATGACACCATCATCAGAAACACCACACAGCCCATACCATAAACTTAGTACAAGAAGTACAGATGAACCAGTCGGTTGCTCACCATGACGGTTACACACTGGACCTTTAACTGCAAGAAGGCAACAATAAAAATATTGATCTAATTGTCTGGAATCCAAATTGCTTGGTAGTAGCAGCAAGCCTTTAAAATTCCTGACTTCTGTAATACAAGGTCAGAAATAAAACACAGGGAGATGATGATGAGCTCACCGACAGAAGTCGTCCACATGTGGAGGCGAGGGAAAATGAGTCGTTACAAGAGCCATGACGAAGCAACCCTCGAATTGCTAGACGGGACTCTGCCACCGGGGCCTGACTTAGAAGGAGATCCAGGGTCAAGCAGGTTGCAGCAGGGGATAATACAGTCAGGGTGAGGCGGTGTGAGGAGGAGAGCGGTAAGTGGGTACTATTTTAACTATTTCAATAATGCAACTATGTGGGAGACATGGCAGAGGAAAGGATACTGAGAATACACCACAGCAAGTCCAGGTCAACCGCAAAATAATCCCCTTTAATCTTAGGAGGTATCTCCAAAGAAAGCAGACACAGCAGAGGAGGCGAAGGTGTTGTACTGTCAGTGTTAACGCTGAATGAAAGAAGGAGGAAACAGTGAGAAGGAGGGAGGAAGAGGAGGAACTTAGCTGGTTGGCTTAACTTTTATCCTTAACCAATGGAGCAAGCCTGGCTATACTAAAGAGAAAACTAGGAGGAAATGACAGTAGGTCACAGACAGGATTTAAGGCCATGCAGTCTAGTGTCCTAATAAACATAACTTAAGTCAAATATACATTTCAAGTGACTTTACTTTTGTGTAAAGAAATTTAAAGAAAACTATACAATAATGATACCATATATAATATATCAAATACTTATTTGTCAATTTAGAAAATACAATAGTTTTAGACATATATTTAGAAAATATGTGCAAAGGTTGAAAACAATACATATGCATTGTTTCTTGCTGTGAATTAAATGAGAAGTTGGCTTCGCATAAGGACTGGAAAAGGGGGAAACAACTAGTCTGTCCATATGTAACAAAATCCACCATCCAGCACCTCTAGTTACATCTTGTTTGTATAATCTGTACACACTAAAGCTTATAATACTTTTGTTAAAAGCAAGATCAACTATACAAATTAACAACACTTTATGGTTTCTGAAGTCTAATTACAGTTTCCAGAGGTAAAGAGCTAATGTTAGGCTACTACACAAACGACATGGTTGCACAATTTCAACATCGCCATCAGCTTCAAACTTGTTATTTGATGTGGCGTCAGATTTGGTTGTCTCTACCTCTGCCATTCACTGTAGTTCCTCTGCAGTGTATTTGGACTCATTTAATACATATTCAATCAGATTATTGTATTGTAGTTGTTTTAACCGGTTAAATGTACCGGAATGTTTTGATTCCACTGCCACCTTGCCGTCCGCGATCATACTGCACTCAAAAAATATACATGTCGTAGTTCTAACACACAACCCGGGAGCTGGCAAAGGTCAGCCAATGATGTGCAACTCATCGTCTGCTGAGTGCGTCTCAGTCCAGGCAACAGTGGGAAATTAAACATTGTTCATCTTCATGTACTATTGATATGGTAACAATGCAATGAGTGGGGTATTTACAGTTATATTTTATACTGTACAATAAAAGCTCGTGTTAGACACAGAGGCATCTTAGTAAAACCCAATCAAAATAACCAATTGACTATAATCAAAAGAGTAGACTTCATTGATGGACTCATTCTCATAGCACTAGAAGCTAGCTAGTCCCAGCTGATGTTAGCTGGCTCTCTCATGCAACTATCAAATCTGACAGCAGGTGTTAGCTTTGTAATCTTGAAACGCAACAGTAATGGCTCTCAGGTGCAGAAAATAGTTAACAACATCAACCCTGGAACCCGGGGACTGCTGTGTGCTCATTGGATCTGAAGTGATATACTATAGCACTGATCAAATGACGAACTAACACGGTCATCAACAGTGATAATGTAGCATTTTAAATTAGCTATTGCTCGGATTCTGAACTCGGACTGGCCTTTTATTCCATAGTTACTGCAGCTGAGGTTCATGGGTGTTGTAGTATTTAGACCCATTCACCATGCCAAGATGACAGATAAACATAAACCTATATGATCCTTATTTGGTATTGTGTCTCTAGCTGCTTTCAGACATGCGCTGAACTACGTAGATCTTCCGAATTTTCATCGGAGGAGGTGCATGTGTGAATGCAAATGTCAATGTGAGACGCTCCGATTATCTGTGCACTTTCTGAAGACCCAATTCTCTGGACTTTACCCTCAGGTCAAGTCGTAAAACAGCTTTTTCAGTTATGATAATTGGATAAATTAACAGCTATATACATATACATTTTGTAAATTTAACATGTATGTCAATAATTTTACTGATATGCAAAACACATCCTTGTTCATTTGACTGTACACACACAAAGAAAAAGAGTTTCTGACAGTATAACCTATAGCCTCAGCCTATTTTGTGCAAAAAAAAACATTTTCTATCAGCTGGAAAGCACATGAGTGGTTTGTTTTCCCTTAGACAACCACACTTCACAGTGAAAACTCAATAAAAGTGTCTAATCTTCAATAGCCAATCAGAGGCACAAAGGCCTGAGAAACAGCCCTTCACACTATTCAATAACCTCTGTTCAGTGTGTAAGATAATGACTCATACCCTGTTACCAGGTCAGTTTAATTCACACTGAATTTTGTTAAATTATTGGATCACAAAACAGACTCCATGTTCAAATGCAAAATCTTGAGACTAAAATTTTTGTTTTGTTTTCTGATTTTCAATTGATTTCTTTTAATTTTGTCTTTGTGTTGTTTTTAATGTCCCTGTAGAGCACCTTGAATCTACCTCTGTATAAAATGTGCTTTGTAACTAAAACTGCCTCACCTTTCTTAGAGTCAATTACCTTATACCAATCTGCATGTCTTTGGACTGCTATGAGGCGACGGTGCTAACCACTGCTCCACCATGCAGATTGCGCCTAAATATGTTATTCCAAAATAAAAGGCATTCCTGTTGAATAACCTCCCAGATACCAGGACTTCTTATGTTCTACAACTACATGCATAAATGGAGTGAACCCTGCAAGCTAGTTCAGGCAGCCAACTCGTGCTGCGCTGCTCCAATCATGTGACACACCTCATTCTCCACAATCATCCATTATACACACCCACCTTATTAGACAGCCTATTTAAGCAGAGAGAAATTTCCCATCAACCCCTTTGCTTGCACTGCTGCTGCAGTATTGCTAGCAGTTGCTTCAGCCCCTCCACCACCCCAGCATACACCTGTAAGCTCCAGGGGGGGTTACAAGTATTTGCTCGTCACTCCCATCATATCTGTGTAATCACATCGGGGGAGTGATTGAGTCACAGCCAAACACAAACTATGTCCTAATGCTGCAATAAACGATTGAACTGAACTTTTGGGAGTAAACAGTTTCCAGTGCTGGAAGGCGTTGGTGCAGCTCAAACTCAAATGAGTATTAAGGCTGTTTACTTTAGTGAGTTGTTAGTTTAGTGTGATGGTTTTTTTCTTGTTTTGGGCAATGCTCTCCTCAACTTGATGTTACCATCACAGGCTCGACTTTTATTAACTTGTTTTGCATATCCTTCAAACTCAGATTAAGTTCCTGCTGAAATGCACAGGACCCCACCTCCACATCCCATTTATATACTGTGCATTTATAGTTAACACAATTTCTGAATTCAGTCTTGTAGTCCTGCAACAAATCCTCCTACACGAAGATTATGATGCTCTGACCTTTTTATTTTACATTTTATTACTTTTTGAATTAACATTCAAATATCTGAATTAGTGGAATTTTGGAATTGGACTACTTTAGTTTAGTTTTTTTTCAGGTTGGAGCATCTCACTGGAAATGCCTCTGCTTTTCTATTTTATTTCGATGTACATTGAAAATCTTTGGATTTTGTATTATTGATTATATACAACAGACATATAGCCTTGTGCTTGAGGGGGCAGATTGCTAAATACTGATTTTGCAGGGTGCCAACATTGTTGCATAAACCACAATTATGTGTTTTATATATATTCTGAGTTGATGAAATTATAGTAACAGGCGTGAAGAAAGTCTAGTTTTGTATGTGTTTGCTGCAGGAGTGGACTTTTACCTTTGAATTAAAACTCAACAAAATACTTAACAAAAATATTAGCAAAACCAAAAGTAACAGTATTTGCTCACAAACGTTTGCATATAAACATGTTGCTTCATGTCATTGGTTATTAATAACTGTATATCCATCCATCAATTTATGTAACACGTGTTATAGCCAGGATATAAACACAGGCCATGTCTACATGTAGCTACACTCCCCGCAGAAACACAATGCCTAAATAAATGTGCAAACATCAATTTAACAGTAGTCCAAACATTTTGGTGCTAATAGATTTTGTAATTAAAGGCCAGACCACCATACTGACTCACCGGCTGCTCATCCTTGCTCTCCGGCTCTGCCTCCGTGGCTGCAGCAGCTTCAGTCGCCTCGCCCCCGCTGCTGCCCCCGCTGCCGCCGCCCCCGCTGCCGCCGCCGCTGGCCGGTGGCTTGGACAGCTTCTCCAGACATGCAGACCCCAGAGAGGAGCTCTTGTGGTGGGACTGCACCAGCTGAGCCACCGTGGGCTTGTCCGGGGAGGCGGACATGTGCTGGGAGGACGACGGCAGCCTCTCCCGCACGAGTCCGGAGCCGCTCGCCGCCGCTTTTCCGCAGAGCTGAGCCTCTGTGGCGTCCACGTCCCCCCGGGGGGAGAAGAGCAGGTCGGGCTGTGAGGAGGAGATCACCCGGTCGAGGACGACGTTTTCCCTCCGTTTCATTATCTTTAACATCCACATGCCTGGCTCCTTCTTGTTCTCCGGGTCTCTGGCGCACAGCTTGGGGCTGAGCAGCGGCTTGGCTTTGGCCTGAAACTGTCTCCACAGTGAGTTCTGCTGGGACGAGCTCCTCTCATTCTCGTCGCCGTCTCCCCGCTCCATTCTGCTCGTGCTGTCACGCCGATGTGGAGGCTATTGATCCAACGACAAACTTATGTAAGCTGTCTATTTCCCTGTTCGGCTGCATCACACCTCGTTACAACTGGAGCAGAGCGCTGGTGGTCGGGGTCCAGCCCACTTTTATATTTACAACTCCAGGCAGCGGCAGACTATTGGATTTCTCCTCTGTCACATCTGTCCAGTGAACAACAAGCTGAACTTATAGTTCACAACATCATCACCACAACTAAACATCATCATCATCACAACTAAATATCATCATCACAACTAAACATCTTCAACACAACTAAACATAAATATCATCA